AAGTAGGTGCTTTAGACCACTGAGCCATCTCACCAGCCCCCCAAATACATTAAAAAAAAAAAAAAGGGTTAAGGGCCGGGGAGATGGCTCAGTGGAATAAGCACTTCCCTAACAAGTGCAAGGCCCTGAGTTCAATCCCCGGTTAAGGTATTAAGTCAATTTAAGGGTACGTGAAACAGGGTTCCTTTGTGACTTAACGTAATTGTACCTGCTTATGAGTTTTCCCTTTTTAGATATACCGTAGTACTGTTTATGAGAATGTAGATTCTTAAGCCTTTTTTGATAATAATTTGTGTCTTAAAGATCTTTATTTTACAGATTACTAGCATTCAGAACAGCAGGCTTCGGCTACACAGCTCCTGTATCCAAGAGCTATGAGTTGGAATACAAAGCCACAGAGGGCCACGATGCCACCGCCATATCGTAATATCCAGCCTGCCTTTTCTCTGCAGTATGTAGTGAACCAGTTTTCCACCACATCTCCAAGTTCTTTCCCTTGTCCTGCAAGTAACCAGGAAGGCTTCAGCTACCTCAATTCACACACTAATTCGCACACGGCACTCCCAAACATGAGCAGTCTTGGCGGACCTCTTCAGATCCCTGCTTCTAATCTGCCTAGCAGGACAGTGGTGGCCTCACAGACTTCAGTAGAAAGAGCAGCACACACAAATGCTAAAGGACCAACGGAGCCGAGTCATAATTTGCACGTGGCTTCAGGAGTTACGCAAAACCCAAGGTTGAACTCTTCAATGATGAGTTCTATGCCTTCTCACACAGAGGCAGCGGTGTCTCACCAAACGCGCTTTGGAACTAACCCAGCTAACTCCCACATGCTGCAGGGTCAACATACAGCCTCAGACAGCTGCACTGTACAACTGCAGGTAACTCCAAATTCTGCAAGAGTCCCCGGAGCTTTACAGGGAAGTCAAGGATTACAGCAGCCATTGCCAGGTCAACAGCTTGATTGGCCACCACACCATGCATCTGATGAGCTGATGTTCTCAGACCACCGGCCACTGCCCAAGCAACACTCCTACTCAGGACATGGCTTCATGCAAGATCCTAGTATTCTTAAAAGCAGGCTCATGCCTTCAGCCCCATCACAGGTCACGTACAGCCAGCTCCCAGCTTCTGCCCAGTCTACCCAGGCTGCAGGGTTGTCTTGCCAGTATGCCCTGCAGACCAGCACAAGGCTCCCTCAGTACTGCAGATACAAAATCCAATCCCTGCCAAATGCACAGTACGTCATCAAACAGCTGTCTGTCGACGTTCCTCAGAGTCCAGAGACTGTCTCTTCTGAGGTGAAAAAAGATTTCTGTCAGGGCTTTCAGCAGCAGTGGCAAAGTACAAATGAAAATGTCTCCACATTGGGGAATGTCTATGACATAAAAGGTGATGCCAATGTCAAACAGCCTTTTAGTGAGCCAGTGAGGACTGTGGATGGTGTTCAGGCTCATCCTCAAAGCTGTCAAGAGAAAAGGATGGATTCTTGCAATCCAACTTCAAGGCAAGGACTGGACACGGTTGTTACAAAAGAAAAGCTAGCAAGAGACATTAAATCATTAATAGAAATGAAAAAAAAGTTTTCAGAACTTGCAAGGAAAATTAAGATTAATAATGCGCTTTTGAAGGCAGCAGGTTGTAAGCCGGTAAGTAGCTTGTCTGGTGAACCAGCTCAGCATACTGAGTTCGCAGTAAAAGAGTCATCTACCAAAAGTCATTGTTCCATGGAACTGGTAAAGACATGCCTTAGTCTTTGGAAAGACAAACCCTCAAAAACAGAGGAAAAGGCTTCAGAACCTGCAGGAGGAAAACAGGCTAACGAGTCAGTAACAAGCGCCTCAGCTGGAGTTTCAAAGCCCCTTGAAGTCCCCATCCAGAATCCTTGCTCAGCTGAGAGAAATGCTCAGAACAAAACTGCAAACCCATTGCAGGCAGCGACTTTGTCCATGCTGGTGCAGAATTATGAGCCTTTGTGTACAAATGTCACGAAGGGTTCAGAGCTCCAGATTGCTGTAGTGTCGCCCTTAATTCTTTCAAATGTTATCAACGAAATGACACCTGGAACTCTACCCGAAGCGGTGTATCCTGTCATCAAAGAAGGCAGCATTTGTAGCCTGCAGAATCCGCCGACAGAGCATGCAGTGGTGACTGCTGCCTTGAATGTTGACGTCATCGCACCAGTGGTGAATCCAGCGTCGGCCAGGGTTTTTCCTGTGATGCAGAAGGAAAAGCATGAGCCACATAATGGTAATTTACAAGACACGCCTGGGGCACATGACAAACAGGGCTGTCACCTGAGTGGTTTGCAGACCTGGCCTAAACCAAACAATGGAACTCTTGTAAGTGATGACTTATTACAGATCGAAAATATCTGCTCTCTTGTTGAAGGGGACAAATCTTATAATTCCAACATTGCAAAGATGTTCCACTCGTCCCCTTTGAAAACTGTTGAGCCACCGAAACTTGATGTTCCCAGTCAGCAAGTATTTCATAGTGGACAACACAAAAAAGTAGAGCAAGGTGCTGAGAGTAGAGGTGACAGGTGGCTGCAATGCACAGACTTACTGCGTGCAGCAGCTGTGGAGAGTAAGAAAGAATCGGCAGAGCTCTTGGGTTCTTCCTCTGTTAAGCCTGTTGAGTCGAGGATCCCAGTGGGCAGCAGCCCAGAAAGGCCCCCGGAGAATGTGGGCACACCCAGCGATGCATTTTGCTGTCCAGCTGCCGAGCCAGACATTAACTCAGGGGACATTGACACCTCTGGCAGTGACCTTGCCCACCCTGCTGCAGCAAGTGGGAGTCATGACCATGCTGCCTTCTGCCTACAAGACCAGCTGTCTGAACTTTTGAAAGAGTTCCCTTATGGCATGGAAAGTCTAAACTCATATGAGGAGAGCTTTAGGGGGCAAAAGAAGACAGAGAAGGTCTCAGAAGATCAGACAGTGGGTAAAGTTGGGTTTGATGCCCAGGGATCCACGGAGCAAATAAAAATTACAATACTAAGCTCAGAACAAATGAAAGAATTATTTCCTGAACAAGATGAGCCCCAGGATATAAATGCACTGCAATCCACTAAGGTAAACAAACCTGCAGAACCTCTGAAACAAAAGCAAGTGGCAGAAGTCGGGAGCCAGTGTGAGCCACAGAACCCTGTGGGAGGAGAGAGTCCAGGTTTTGAAGAGAACACAGACCAAATCCATTGCTGTGCACTGGGCTGGCTTGCCATGATATATGAAGGGGTCCCCAAGTGTCGGTGTAACGTGGAGGAGGTGGCTAAGAAGGAAGCTGGGCAGGAGCAGGCTCTGTTGGAATCCAGCAGTTGTCAACCAGGACAGCAAACCTCTGATGCAGATGTCACGCTCATTAAATTTGATGGTGTTTCTCCTAATCCCAGGATTCCTCTGGCTGCTGCTGCAGCTGAGAAAAGACAGTCGCCTAAAATACCAGGCAGTGACTTAAAAGATGCATCCAAAACCAGGAAGGACAGTGCCCCAAGGAGACTGGAGCTGCCGGGTCAGCTTCCTCCCAAGTGTAAAAGCAGTGACAGAAAAGATGCAGCTGAAGCAAAACAGGAAGCTTTGACAGACACAGGGCAGGAAGGGATGACTGGCCAGCTTCCATCTCAGGCTGATCAGCTGGAGTCCTCACAAAGGCTTAAAGGAGTAAAACTGAAATGGCATGCAGTACATTTCCAGCCCAGCAGTAAAATGTCTTCTGACCAAGCTTCTCAGGAAGGTCCCCAGAAGAAGCACACAGTGCAGAGCTCAAACCCGTCAAACCCCAAAGAGGGTCTTGTCCCAGATACATACAGGAAGAATGGCTCCTTACCTCCGGAAAAGAAAAAATTAAAATTGAAAGAAAGCAGTCCCCAAGAAGGACATCTGGAAAAAAGGAAGTTAGAACAAGGGGAAATGCCGAGTTTGGAGATAAAAAAGAAGAGATATAATAAAGGAGAACCTAATAAAAATGCAGAAGTCACGCCCAGATTATGTGCCACTTCACCACACCCTCTCGAGAGAGCCGTTGTTAAAGAAGATTCAACATTAAATGTGAAGTCCTCCGACTTCAGGCACACAAAGGAAAGATCCACAGTTAGAGACAAGACTGCGTCACAAGCGCCATCCATGGATGCCAAGGATCCAAGGGAAAGAGCCAGCATTCCAGAGCGGGCAGCGTCACAGGCGCAGGTCTCGGAGTTCAAGGACCCAAGGGAGAGAGCCGCGGTTAGAGACCGGGTAGCACTGCAAATGCAATCCTTCGGTGCCATGGATGCAAGGGAGAGAGCCACAGTGAAAGACAAGATAATACCACAGATGCCATCCTTAGATGTCAGGCACACAAGCGAGAGAGCCAGCGTTAAGGAACCGGTGGCATCCCAGGCCTCAGACTTCAAGGACGCGAGGGAGAGAGCTACAGTTAGAGACAAGTCGGCATCACAGGTGCAGTCCTTAGATGCCAGAGATTCAAGGGAGAGAGCCACAGTTAGAGATAAGGCAGGGTC